CTTAGAAAAGGACACTGGTTTCTAGGAGTCCTACGAATAAATCTTACTAGACAGCCTCGTTTGTTTTTTATAGGTTAGCTAGAACCACAGTCTGGAAGGACAGTGGAGTGCGCGTGTCTCGGTGTCCTCGGGTGTTTAATGAGGCTATAATCCAATCCCGGGGAACATTATCGGAAATATGGACTGAAAGTTGGTAGAATTAGGTGAATTATCAGAGTCCACCTGCTGGGCAGGCCCTGTGGCCACCCTGAGGCCCACCTTCACTGATGGGTCAGCCAGGGCAGAACCAGGGTCTTGGATTAGGCTGTCTGTGAACCTGACACTGGTTCACAGACAGCAGGACTATAACGGACAGTGAAGGGGAGGTCCAGAGGTTTCAGCCAACCATGATGATGGGCCGAGTCAGGAGGAGAGCCCTGGACAGTTAGGAACAGGATCTGGGGGATGGGGTTGGACTGCAAGAGGTGTGAAAAAAGGGCTCGAGCTATCCACTGCTTCGCCTCAGAGGGCTGCCAAGAAAACGAGCTCCAGCCTCCGGCGGAGCGGCTCAGTTAAGCGGGACACCAACCTCAGGGCCATCGGAGGATACAGAGGAAAAAGGCCAGAAGAGGGAAAGACGGGCTCTTGCGCCTGGAAGGGGTTGGCCTCAGAGCACAGCAAGGGCTGTTATAGATGTGGAAGCCCAGCCTGGCAGTCCCAGGGCTCGGAACCCAGAAGCTCAGGGGAGAAGCCCACAAGGACAGATCTTTGTAAATAAAACGTGAGAACAGTTTTCTTCGTGGAGTCCAAAAATGGATGGGGCTCTCGGCAGATGGGAGAGGTCCTTTGCTGAGACGAGCACTTGGTGGGGGTGCGGCAAAGGGGGTGAAGTGGACAGCTCTGCAGGCAGGACCGGGGGCCTCAGGGGTGCCCGAGCCTGAGTTTCTGTGTCTTTACCACAATACCGAGGAGGGGGTTGGGTGCCCTTGACCACCGGTATCCTTTGTCTACTTATAATATGCACGAAGGAAAGTTCCCACAGGTAGATAATCAGTGTACTGGCAAAGGCCACCTGTGTGCTGCCACTCAGCCACAGGACAAAATATCCCCCCCTCTCCAGAAGCCCCCTTGGCCCTCCTGGGCACCCTTGCACAGGAAGCCACTTTCCTGTGCTCTTGCAGTAGGCAGACTCGTTGGGCCTGTTCCTAAACTCTCCTCCCTGTGGAGCTAGGCAGCGCGGGGTCTTGTGTCTGGTGACCTCGGCTCAGGTGGCATTTGGGACGGCCCTGGGTTCCTGTGAGTGGTTCTGTAGATAGATGATGGATCGATCCCCTGCCTGGGTTGGTGGCCGACTCTATCCCTTGTGTCCTGCTGTCTGTACTATGACAGTGCCCACTCAAGTGGGTGACTGAACTCAGTGGTGGCCCTGGACTTGTAGATGTGCAGTGGATGGGAGCACAGACCACTGGGGAGGTCAAGGTCACACCAACCTGTGTGCCCAAGCCCTGGTCCTTCCTGCCAGGGCAGCACAAGCTGACATGCAAGATAGAAGATTCCAAATGAGGGACAAGGAATGGTGGCATGGCAGTGTCTACGAGGGACGAGAAGCAGCGAGGACAGCGTAGAAATGCAAGTCTAGCAGTCACCCTGAGGCCAGGCCTTGGGCAGCATGTCTGCTGCTGCTTCCTGAACTGCCCTAGAGATGCACAGAAAAGGCACCCTCGCTTTTGGCTGCACCCCTCTGGTCTCTTAGGGCAGTTCAGTCTTGGCAGGGCCTGGCTCCCCTGGGAGAGGTGACTTTGGGGCAGGGACACCAGGGGCTGTACCCACCCTTCTTTACCTGACATTCCAGTCAGTGTCACACGGGTCAATGCCTTTGCCTTCCTGGGTGCTCCTGCAGGGAGCCCAGCCCAGTGTCCCTTGTGGGAAGTGCAGGGACAGCACTAGACTGGACAGAGTGCCTGCATCATCTCTGCTCTGAGCTTAGAAAAGCCGGTTCCAAGTTTCCTCGCACCTTAGGCTCCTCTGAATGCTAGTCCAGTGTCCTGGTCTTTGGGAAGCCCTGAGGACAGAGGGTGGAGGCCTGGCCTGAGCCTGCAGGCGGGAGCTCTTTTGCCTTGTATGACAGTGCTAGGAGGGTGCCAGGGGCTGATGCCGCCTTTGCCCTCCTGGTGTGAGTTCTGGGGAGCCTTGCCAGGTGGGGTGGGGCAGTTTCTGGGGGAGGAAGTTCCCTCAGCCAGCCCTCTGTTTGCCCCTGCTCTGGGGGGCTGGTGGTGAGACCCTTCTTTCCCTCCTCTGAGTAAGCTTAAGTGGCTCCCTGCCTTCTCCCCAAGGCTCTGGGTGAGAACTGAGGGTGTGGGACGGTGTGGAGAAGCTGGGCGGGTGGTCAGGAGGACAGGCGGTGGGCAGGTGCTGGCGGGGGCAGCTGGCGCGCTCTGGTGCAGCTCCTTGGCACCCACTCACCCCCTTGGTGCAGTTTCTGGATCGCAGTCCTGGCCTGACCCACCCGGCCGCCTCTTCCCTTCTGGCACCACCCCCAACACTGCTGTGCTGCCTTCCAGCTCGCCTCCCCCCAAAGGCCCCTCCCTGCCCGCAGCGGGTGACGGATCTCCGCTCAGGCCTGGGCTGGGGATTAATGAAGCCCAGATGCAGGACTCCTGGCAGAGCGGCAGCAGCAGCACCAAGGGGCCATTTACCTCCCACCGTGCTCCCAGCCCAGCTGCTGCCGGCTCCCGGGAACAGCTGGAAGGCAGGTTCTGGCTGATGGAGGAGGCCTCGGGTGGGGGGGCCCTGCAGGGAGTGGAGCTGGGGGCTCTGTGGGGCACACCACGGCTCAGCCCAGGCGGGTCAGGCCCCAAACTGATCACTGTCAGGTCGTCATGGTTGTCAGAGGCAGTGCAGGTGTCACTGGGGACAGGCATGCTACAAACTGTCCCCCTTCACTTGTCTGAGGTCCAGGTTTAACAGGCAGCCTGTATTTTGATTTGCTGACTCTGGGAGCCTGGCTCCCCTCCCAGGTGCATGTCTTTTCTACTTCAGGGTTTTACTGAAGCACAGCATACATGGAACAGAGCACAGACCATGAGGCGTCGTGACTGTGGGTGTTCACACGTCACATGCCTGACACCAGCACCCTGCTCAAGAAAGGCCCAGGACCCAAACCTGCCCAGCTGCTGGAATTTGCCCATCTAGGGCTTGACCTGAACCAATTCGTACACTTCTGTTCTTAGGTGTTGGGCTGTGAAGGTGGCCCGTGTTGCTGGAGGTCGTCACAGTTCGTTCATAACCGTGACTCCTAGAGATTTACCCAGGGTGCTTCTGCAGCTGGGAACATTCCAGTACCTCAGTTTTGGTACTAGGTACCTAGGAGCAGGATCACTGGGGGAGCAGACGAGTATCTCTGATAAATCTCCAGATGGCTTTCCTAGTGGTGCCTGCACCCCACCAGCACCCCACCAGCCGGGGCCTCCTGTCTCCACATAGCCCCCTGCCGTGGAGCAGAACTGCCCGCTGCTTTCTCTCTCTCCTAACCCAGAGCCTCTGCTTTGTTAATCTCCCTGGCTTTCCTGACTGTTTCCTAAAAAGTCAACACCGTCCCCTTGACTTTCAGACCCCACGTTAGGGTCACTGGTCCCAAGCTGCCCAGCCTCAAGGGAGCTTTGAGGACACTGATTCTGCCTCTGTCCCCACCACCAGGGACAGCTCTGGAGTCTTCAGTGCTGGTCAGAGAATGGCCAGGTTTATTCCTGGCTCGCAAAGTCCTTCTTTAGGGAACCACTGCCTCTGTGTACCTCCCACGCCTCGCTATAGCCCACGTTTGTCCTTGGTTTCTTCATAATGTCATTCTGCAGTGTGGCTGAGGACACTGGTAGGGTCCCTCCAACAGCGTTGTTACCTGAGGGTATTTGTCCCCTAAGAAATCAGTGCTAGTTCGCGCACTTTTCTGTCACGTTTCATCTTTTAGACCTTTCATTTGATGGTGGTGGCTTTCCTCAGGAACTGGGGACCATGGTAGGACCGTCGCCCAGCATGCATGAGGCCTTGGGTTTGATCCACAGCATCAAAAAAATCCATTTCAATAGCTAAGAGTTGCAGCCCCTGGGGACACATGGAGGGACGTTGAAGGTCATAGCCTCGTGGTAGGATGGACTGGTGACAAGGCACAAAGCATCATGGCCTTGGGAGTTCGTGTGGGAGAAGGGCTCACCCCAAACTCCTGTCTGGGGGCCCTCAGCCCTGCGTCACCTCACCCCTTTTCAACCCATCACCACTCTGGCCCATCCTCTGCTCTCCACGTCCCTCCGCTCTTCTTCCCTGGAGCTCAGGGACCCATGGAAATCAGAGGTCCAAATGTCATCGTGTGAAGGCCTGATGGGGTGGGGATGGGGTGTCCACTCCTCAGGAGGGGCCGCTGTTGGCTCCATCCTGGTGGAAGTCTCCTCACTGCTGTGGCTGACTGCAGCCCAGGGACTGTTCTGCTCACGGTGGACTCGCAGACCAAATGCTCCAGGGCTGGTGGCCCCAGGCACCTTTGGCTCTGGGCCTTCAGGGCTCTGCCTCACGCTCCTGTCTCTGCTGGCCTCCCTCTGGCTGCTTATTTAGGCTGTCCCACCAGGACACACGATGGCACTGGCAGTTGCAGGTCACCTCTTGCCACTTTAGCTGCTCTCTGGGAAGCACAGGCTCCGCTGACACTCCAAGGATGGGGCACTCCTAAGGCCACCCTGGGAACCAGGGTGGGAACCGGAACAGATCAGGGGTTCCAAAGGAAAGGTCCCTGGACACTGTGAAAAAACCCACAGACTTGCCAGACACCATGGCGCATGCCTGTCATCCCAGCAGCTCCGGAGGCTGAGGCAGGAGGATCGCAAGTTCAAAGACAGCCTCAGCAATTTAGCGACTCAGAAGAAAAACAGTCCCCTCTCCATGGCTGTCCTGCCCTTTACATGGGTGCCCCAACTTCCAGGCCACCCCCTTTTAGATTGCCATCTTCCTCAGGTTCTCCCATTCTCTTCTCTCAGGCAGCTTCGAGGCCAGCTCAGCCTTGTGGTCATCGCCCGGATGCTCGGCCAAGAGGAACTCCCTCTCTGGCAAGAGAAGATGCAGGTGAGTCTGTGTTAGTCAGCTTTCCGCTGCAGTGACCAAAATGCACTGTGCGAACAACTTAGAGGAGGAGGCGTTTATTTTGGCCCATGGTTTCAGAGGGTTCAGTTGGTGTTCGGCCAGTTCCATTACTTTGGCCCTGAGGTGAGACACAACATCATGGTGGAAGGGCAGGTGGAGGAAAGCTGTCAACTCATGGCGCTGAGAACAAAGAGAGAAAGGGAAAGGGACCAGGGTTAAGATACCCCTTTCCAGGGCACACGCCCAGTGACCTACTTCTTCCAGTTAGCCCCACCAGTAATACCACCAGATAGGAATCTTTCCAGGGATGAACCCACTGTTGAGATCAGAACCCTTATTATTTAATCACTTCCCAAAAAAAGCCCCGCCTCAGAGCATGCTGCACTGGGGACCAAGCCTTCAGCACAAAAGATCTGGGGGAACATTCCAGGCCCCGGCCATACCTCGAGTCTGCCTAGCCAGGACAGGAAGGCCTGGGGTGGCCGACCCTCCCCAAGGCCTGCCCACTCCTGAGTCCTGGCTGGTGCCCCAGCCTCTGCCCTAAGAGCTGAGCTGGGTTAGAATGTCTTACCCAAGTTCTTTCAGTCAGCGATTGCTGGGGGCTGGGTGTGCAGCTGAGCGTAGAGCACTTGCCCAGCCTGCGCAAGGCCTTGGGCTCACCCGGCTCTGCGAGGATGCTGCCCCATAGACCTAAGTCCCAGCTACTCGGGCTGAGCTCAGGAGTTTGAGGCCAGCCTGGGCAACGTGGCAAGATTCTGTCATCTCTTAGGGAAAAAAAAAAAATTCTTGTTTGCCTGCCTACCATATGCTGGGTGCAAGGATTAAGCTGGGTGGAGTGTATTTTCTTTTTTTTTAATTTATCTTTGGTACCAGAGATTGAACTCGGGCACTTGACCACTGAGCCAAACCCCTAGCCCTATTTTGTATTTTCTTTAGAGACAGGGTCTCACTGAGTTGCTTAGCTCCTCGATTTTGCTGAAGCTGGCTTTGAACTTGTGATCCTCCTGTCTCAGCCTCCCAAGCTGCTGGGATTACAGGCATGTGCCACTGCACCTGGCTCTGTATCACATTTTTTTTTTTTAAGAGAGAGAGAGAATGAATGAATTTCTTTAGTTTTCGGCAGACACAACATCTTTGTATGTGGTGCTGAGGATCGAACCCGGGCCGCACGCATGCCAGGCGAGCTCGCTACCGCTTGAGCCACATCCCCAGCCCTGTATCACATTTTTTAAAAATGTGAAACATACGTAATGTAAAATTTATCACCTCAACTTGTTTTTATCATCTTTACTCTGGTTTGTTTTTTGCTTTTTTCGCCAGGCTAGGGAACGAGCCAGGGCCTCATGCATGTTAGGCAAGTGCTCTACCACTGAGCTACATTCCCCAGCCCTTTTTATTTTATTTTGAGACAAGGACTCATTAAGTTGCTGAGGCTGGCCTTGAACTTGGGACCCTCCTCCCTCAGCTTTCCGAGTTCTGAGATTGCAGACACGCATCCCCACACCACACTTTTAACTCTCTTCTTTGTGTGTGGTAGGAATTAAACCCGGGAGTACTTTACCATTGAGCTACATTCCAAGCCCTTTCTATTTTTTTATTTTGAGTCAAGATCTTGCTAAATTACTAAGGGTCTTAGTAAATTGTCCAAGCTATCCTCAAACTTGTGATCCTCCTGCCTCAGCCTCTCAAGTCGTTGAGATTGCAGGCCTGTACCACTGCACCCAGCTTAACTTTTTTTGAACCCAGGGGCACTTAATCACTGAGCCACATCCCCAGCCCTTTTTATTTTTTATTCGGAGACAGGGTCTCACTAAGTTGCTTAGGGCCTTGCTGAGGCTGGCTTCAAACTCAATCCTCCTGCCCCCGCCTCCTGAGCCACTGGGATTATAGGGTGCGCAACCATACCCAGCTTGTATTGGGCAGAGATTTATGGGGAGATAAGGGGAGCTACAGGGAAGGGAGGCAAATGACAAGTACCTAACCTGGAGCCCTGCCTCCCCCAGAGAAAGCTGGCCCTGGAGAGCTCTGCATTTGCTAAGGGCCCAGGTCTCCAGGCCTGTCGGAGACAGAGCCAGGTGCAGCCTGACTGTGCTTCCAGCTCCAGGGCCTCTCCACACACTGGTGCCCACCTGCCTGTACCCGGCCATGTGCTCCTCTGCTCTGTAGACACTCGCTGAGCAGCCCCGTCCCAGGCTCTGCCCCAGGCACCAGGTGCCAACAGGCTCTGGGGAGACAGCACCCAGACGACCTCAGAAGACAGGGTGAGCAAGCCGGCTGCGGCTGTGGTGACTAACTCTGCCCGAGGACAGTGAGGCGGCTTCTGAGGAGGTGCCTGAGCCAGGTCTTGGAGGATGAGTCTGTGCGTGTACCACAGAGGAGAGGGAGCAGGGATCCAGGGCAGCTCCAGGGAAAAGGGAAGGCCAGCAGGGGCCTGCCTGTGACCTGCCTGATGCACTTCCTGTCTCTCCACTGCAAGCCCTGGCACTCGGTAGCCTTCTTCCAGGTCTCTGGGCTGCCAAGTGCCCCACTTTCCAGTCTGGCCTGTCAGATCTTCCTGAAACATGCCTTCACAGGGCCACCTTCTCCCCATGACTGCCCACATCAACCCCACGTGGCCCTTGCACACCTACTCCACAGCCTGCCCAGTGGTGCCTGTTCTCAGCCCTCTCCACAGGCCAGGCCAGCCTAGCCATCTCCTGCACACAGACTTGTGCAGCTATCACACCCCACCCCAAATAAAGGCCACCACCAGAGTGGCAGCCCTCAATCTATGCTGAGTGCGTGCTCAGTGCCTGCTGCGTGTAGCAGCCTGGACCACAAGGACTGTTACTCTCAGATGGAGCAAGGCGGCAGGGAGCCTCCTGAAGGTCATAGAAGGCAGCAGTGGGGTTGGGGTTTGAGTTCCAGCTCCCGCCCCAGATCTCAGAAGCCTGGACTGTGCCTGGGACTTCATGCTGAAGATGCCCAGCTGGTCCGGAGCTTTCTTCCTGGGTCACAGAGGGGACTCAAGGGCCTGTCGCCCCTGCCCCTCAGAACGCACTGCTATTTGTGAAGGGGCTGTGGGTTGAGAACAAATTCTGGCTCCTTGTAGCAGAGGCCTGTGCTTAGGGGTGGGCCAAGCCGTTCCCAGAGGACCACTGGGCAGCAGGAGTCCACCGTGTCCAAGCCGCTTGGTTCCTCAAACTGGACTGTCAGGCCCCAGGAGCAAGACAGGTGCTTAGAACTGACCTTTAGGGACAGGACTTCTGTAGGTGCTTGGGATGCCACAAGGTTTGCCTTTGCCAGGAGAATCCCAGGGTCTATGCAGTAATCTCTGTTCCTCTGTTGAATACTGGGAATGTTCCAGAAATGGCAGTGTTTCAGTCTCATGCCCCCGTGTGCTCCAGGCACTGATCTGGGCATGGAAGATAGAGCAGGACAGAGTTTAGTCCCTCCCTTACGACACTCACAGTCTGGGGCCTGGCAGACACAGGCACCAAGAAGGCAGGTCATGGGGAGTACCAGATGGCGAGGAGCACTGGGGAGGAAAAGGCAGAGAAGTAGGGAGAGGAGGTGCTGGGAACATGCTCATGTCCAGGGTAAACCAGGGAAGGGACCTTTGCACATGGACTGAAGGAGGCAGGTGGTCTCTGGGAAGAGCACTCTAGGCAGCAGGGCTGCAAGTGCAAAGGCCCTGGAGCCCGCCAGGGCCTCTTGGGTTGGAGGAAAAACAAGGAGGCCAGTGCTGCTAAAGCAGAGGGCTCAGGGTGGGCCAGCAGGAGTGAGGTCAGTCAGGTAAGCGAAGGCTCCCCCAGCCAGAGGCCGTCCACCGTGGGGGTTTTGACTTCTGTGCCACAGTGGAGAGCCACTGGGGGGTTTTGAACAGAGGAGAGAACATGTCATGTGTCAACTCTTTAAAACTTCCTCTGGCTGCCTATAGACCTGGACTCTGTTTGGGGCAGGGGGTCTATTCCTGCAGTCGTCCTGTGTGGCCGTGGCCTGGGGCATGGCAGCATGGGCAGTGGGTTGCCAGATGCGAGGTGTGCTTTCCAAGGACAGGCTGCGGAGTGTGAGAGGAGGGACGGCACCAGGAGGAGACACCTTTCACCCAGCCAGGTCCTGACCTCTATCTCTTCACTCATTTCCCTAAGAAGTACTCCTAAGCAAGCTGTGTGCCAGACTCAGTGCTGGGCTCTGGGCTGCTGTAGTGAACAAAACTGCGCCAGGGCCAGGTGTGGTGGCCCATGCCTGTGATTCCAGTGGCTCAGGAGGCTGAGGCAGGAGGATCACAAGTTCAAAGCCAGCCTCAGCAATGGCAAGGTACTAGGCAACTCAGTGAGACCTGTCTTTAAATAAATAAAGACTAAAAGGGGCTGGGGATGTTGTTGAGTGGTTAAGCAGGGACCCCTGGGTTCAGTCCCAGTACCAAACACACCCATGGGGAGCTGACATTCTGGAGCAGGGGAACAGATAATAATATGGGTAATAAGCAGCTAATTTACATGGGCTGGGAAGTGGTGATAATGCTATGGAAAGAAGAGGTACAGGGTAAGGGACTTCAGGCAGGTGTGGCCAGCATGCGGCTGCAGGCCAGGTGGGAGCTCAGGTGGGCAGGCCTCCCTGTGAAGGGGGCTGGAGCCAAGGCTGGAAGGAGGGGCAGCTGTGCTGGGTCTGGTCAGAAGCCCCACCACCTGGGGTCTTTCAGACACTTAAAACTTGGGCAGCCTTCATGTACAAATTAGATCCTCTGCCAGTGTTTAAGCTAAGAGCCACTGGCTGGGATGAGTGTCCTCCTCCTCTTGCCAGGCAATTGACAAGGCCAGTGGAGGCCTGTCTTGGGTGAGCCCTTGCTTCTTGCCCCAGGTGTCTGCCCTAATGGGCTGAGTGTTTGCTGAGATGGCTCCCAGCAGGGGGGTGGGTGGGGGTGGGTGGGGGTGGGGGTGGGGAGGGCACTGGTCCACCCCAGCCCCAGTGGGACCCATGGGGTCCCAACCAGCTCGGACCCTGCAGATACGTGTGTTAGCAGGAGAGGCTGGCTGGAGCGGCGTGAGGGGAAACGGAAGGAAATGAGCGGTCAGATCTACAGGGGGCAGCTCGATGCGCCAGCAGCCCAAAGCTGTTTTTATGGAGTGCAAGGAAAATCCAGCAGTGAGCCAGTGAGCGCGCAACCGTGGTATCCTTGCCCCGCCCCGCCCCGCCCCCCAAGCGGGAGGCTAGCCAGCCAGAAGGCTGCGCTGGGGTCGTGGGCCACAAGGCCCCGCCCCCTGCGCCTGCACAGCTCTGAGCTCCGGGCAGGGCAGGCAGGGCTGCCCTGGAAGCTGTCACCAAACTAGGAAGCCCAAGCCAGGCAGTGCAGCTCTGGTGTTGGTGCAGCCCCGAGGGAGCCTCTCTTCACCAGAACCTTCCTCCTCTTTCCTGCCGCCTCCTCACCCCTCCAAAGGGGTTCAGACAGGGCAGAGAAGCCCTGGCCCTCTTCCAGGAGCCAAGGCCCTCCCTAGTCCTAGACCCCAGCCCAGCTGTTCCTGTGAGCCCTCAGCACCGCAGCCTGCCAGGTGCTGAGCAGGTGTCAGGGAGTGAGTCAGAGGACGGAGCCAGGTGTGCCCGCTGGCCAGGCCCAAGCAAGGAGCTGGGCCAGGGCTCAGCTCTAGCCCATGGCCACACTGCACCTGCTAGATCTGAGGAGAGGCGCCTCTGCAGACCACCCGGCTGTGTTTCTGCACCTGACACCCTGCCCCACCCCAGAGAGGCCAGGCACTGGGCCTGCCGGCCTTTGCCCAGCCACACCACAGGTGCGCTCCAGGGCATCTGGACAGGCCTTGTTGGGCCCTACTGAGGCCCTGAACCCTGAGGTGGGCGTGGCCAAGGAGGGGCTGGCTGCAGACTGAGCATTTAGACAGGTCACATTCTGCCTGAGGGGTTCAGAGCCTGTTTGTTCAGAGGAGATGGGCAGTTTCTTCAAAAACAAAATGGGAGGAGCTGGGCTTGATGGTGCATGCCTGTAATCCCAGCTACTCAAGAGGCGAAAGCAGGAACATCACAAGTTCAAGACCAGCCCGGGCAACTTAGCAAGACCCTGTCTGAAAATAAAAATAAAAAGGGCTGGGAATGTAGCTCAGAGGTAGAATGCTCCCCAGTACTACACACGCACAAAAAAGGACTGGGGCCAGTTGTGGTGGCCCACATCTGTGATCCCAGCAACTCGGGAGGCTGACACAGGAGGATCATGAATTCAAAGCCAGCCTCAGCAACTTAATGAGGGCCTAAGCAACTCAGTGAGACCCTGTCTGAAAATGAAATATAAAGAACTGAGCATGTGACTCAGTGGTTAAGCGCCCCTGGGTTCAATCCCCAGTACCACCAAAAAAGACACATACACACACTATGTACATAACATATGTAACGTATGTCCAAAAGGAAGAGGCTGTGCTGGGGTGGAGATGATGAACCAGGTGGAGGAGATGATGACGATGGTGGTCATCACTCACAGTGACGGGACAGGCAGGGCTCATGTTCTCTCCATGTGTGTGGGAAATGCCACAGTGACAAGTTCAATGAAAAGAAAGGGACAGCACCCTCTCTGCCTAGTGGGCTGGCACAAAAGGAGCAGCTCAGCTGGGCAGGGTTCTGCCCAGTGGCAGAGGACCGAGCTCCGGCTCTTGGTTCTCCAGGGCAGTGAGTGAAGCCCTTCTCAGGGGGCCTTCCTAGTTCATCTGGTTAAGGAAGGGCTTGCCCTGTGCAAGATACGTTTGTGTGTGTGTGTGTGAGTGTGTGTGTGTGGTAGAGTCACTCAGGGTCTGAGAGGCCACACAGCTTATCTGTGAGAGGTGGTCTCGGGTCCTGTCACCCACTGCTGCCAGCTGAGTTGTCCCCACACAGTTGCTTGGCTGCTGCTACCCTCAGTATGTGACAGCCTCCTTGTCTTCCCCAGCTGTCCTTGCTCAGTCAACTCCTAAGCCTCATGAGGCCATCATCCCTGGGGCAGTACCTGGGCTCTGAGCCCTTGCCACCCTGCCAGGAGCAACAGCCAAAGGCCAGTGCTGCACTGGACCATAAGGTGAGCACCCTGCACTGTCTGCTTCTGCCAGGGCTGTCTTGTCTGCTTTGCGCCACCTGTGGGGTCTACAGCTGCCCATCCTCCTAGAGCCCCAGGCTACGCCAGAGCAGAGACCAGCGGGCTTCCTCTTGTGTTGAGGGGAGGCGCTCCTCAGCTCCCAAGCCTGTAATTAGAGCCCTTGCCCACACGGCACACGTAGGTACAGGGCGTGGGCGCAGGCGTGCAGGCCAGAGGGCCGCGGTGTGTCTGCTGCACCCGCTGGAGCCTGGCTTCCTTAGCCCTAGGGCTCTGGGTTAGCTTTAGAGGACAGGAATGGGGGATGGGGAGATGCTGGGGTGGGTGGGGTGGGCGATGGGAGCACATTTAGGAGGAGGAGGGTGTGTCGTTATGGGAGGGGCATCATCGTTTTCCTTTTTGCAGGGCAGGGCTGGGGCCAGCCTCCCTGCTCATTTTCAGTGATTGTTACCGAGGCTGCGAGGCTGCGTCCTTGACCTCCCCACAGTTCTTCCCAATTAACTTTCCAGACATCACCCAGCTTTCCTAAAAGTTTGGCTTTTAGGTTTGGAAGCCAAGGGCAACAAGGTACCCCAGGGCCTGGAGGTTGCAGGGCGAGGAGACTGAGGTGAATGTCAGAGCAGAGACAGTGGTGGGTAGGCTTCTGAGGGAGCGCTGCAGGCCCAGCTCCCTGTCCCTGGGTACTGGGGGTGATGAATGGAGATAGGGATCTTCTAATTCAGCAAGGCAGTAATTCCAAAACCCTGCTCAGAGGTGGATGTTGAGGATCCACGAGTCCAGCCTTTGGGCACTGCTCTGCAAATCAGATAAACAAATTAATTACTTAATGAACACAAATGAACCATTAAGAGAGTCCCAGTGCACTCCCCTTCCAGGACACGCAGGGAAGGTGATCTTTCCGTTGGGCCTAATATGAGTGCATTTACGAGGCTGCAGCCTCCCTGGAGAGTGTGAACCGCCAGCATGCCCCTTCTCCTCTGCCAAGTACTGCCAGGACACAGGAGCTGGTTGCAGAGGCTGGTTATGGGGCCTATAGAAAGGGGGCAGGACCAGTCTCTGGGGTGGCCTGAGCAGGACCCCAGAACCTGGGAGGCCTAGGCTGAGGGGGAGTGATGAGAGAGAAAAGAAGAAGCTGGTCTGGCCCGGCTCTTGGGGGTCAGCCCCACAACCTCATGCCACAGAGGCAGGGCCCTGCCAGGCCCAGCTTTCCATTTGGTTCCCCTTGTTTCTGAATCTGCCTGGTGGCACAGCTGTCCCATAGCCGGGGGGGGGGGGGGGGGGGGATGAGCCGGCTGAGGCATCCTCTGTGTTAACGGGTGCTGCCATGCAGGTAGAGGAACTTGTGAGAAGTGTCCCCGCGTCCCCTGGTTGACTGCCATATTGGGGATGGCTGGTTTGGCCTAGAAGCTCAGAGGGGCTGCACATCTTGGCAGAATAGCCCAGAAGCAGAGTGTGCTGGAGAGCGGGGCAGCAGAAGGGGCAGGCAAGGTCACTACAGCACTTAGGACCCCGGACGCAACCCAGGACCACTGCAGGCTCTCAGGGTGAGGGAGAGGAGGGCAAGGGCGACACAGGTGGGGCTCCAGGTGAAGAAGAGTGTGAAGTGGGCCGAGCTGTGTCCCCTGCCTAAGTGCTGTTCTGACTGGGAGGGGCGAGGTGGGGCGATGACTGGGCAGGCTCCCACCCCAGCTGGCTGACTCCTCATTAGGCCCCAGCGTGTTTCATCTTCAAAGCAAAGATGGGGCTACTCACCAGCCAAAGAGAGCCGCTGGCGTCATCCGCCCTGTTTTACGGGAGTGGTGGTCTGGGTGGGGGCTCAGCCTTTTATCCCCAGAGCTCAAAGTCTTTGTCTTCTGGCCCCTTGAGTGCACTGGGGAAACTGAGGCCAGAGTCGGGTCATCCTGAGGTGACCTCTGGTGCAGGAAGTGGCTGCTTTTCCAGGCCCTTGGGGCTACCATGCTGGGCTGCCCACCCATCCCCCCAGCCCAGCTCCTACTCTGTCTGGGAGATTTCCTGCCCTGCTCTACGGGTCATAGCCCTCCCCCAGCCCTGCAAATAAACACTTCTGCCCAGCTCTTCCCACCTCCTCTCTCTCAGGCACTGGCCTGGCCTCTTCCCTCCTTCTGGGAGGAGGCCCAGGGCACGATGTGGCTTCACCTAGCATTGTCCCTGTGTGCATGAGCTGTCTGGTTGGACCAGGGCACAGCCACATCTCTGTACAGTGCATTCCAGTTTGCCACTAGATGGTCAGACGGAAGGATGGACAAGCAAATGGATTGTGTTATCATCCGTCTCTCCCTTCCTGGACTTTCTTTCACTCTGTTCTAGTCATCTGCTCTCCTGCCCGCATTCTGGAAAGCGCCCTCTGCACACCTTCCAACCAGTGGCAGGCTCAGGTCTCTTAATGTCTTTGGGTCCCTAAGGCCTGATGGAGCTCTGGGCTTCAGAAGTGACACCTTTGTAATGAGAGAACCAGCTGCAGGGCAATGTTGGTAATTAGAAAGCTAGACACCAAGTACTTGAACAAAATGGCTCTTACAGCTGCTCCTCTGCCTGGGGGCCAGGAGGAAGGGGAGCGCAAGGGGAGGTGGGCGGCCTGGGTTCCTGAATTCTTTGTCCTAGCTAGGTCAAAGTAACTTAGCAAATCACAACAGAGCTTGTAAAGGAGAAGAAATTGCTTCTATGGAATATCCTGCTTAAGGAATTGATTAGCAGGGCATGGTGGCACAGGCCTGTAATCCCAGCAGCTCAGGAGGCTGAGGCAGGAGGATCACAAATTCAAAACCAGCTTCAGCAATTAGCAAGGCCCTAAGCAAAAAAATAAAAAGGGCTGGGAATGTGGCTTGGTAGTTAAGTGCCCCTGGGTTCAATCCCTGGTACCAAAATATAAAAATAAAAGTAAAAAAAAAAAATTTTTTAAAGGCAGGGTGTGCTGGGGATGCAGGGTGTGCTGGGGATGTAGTTCAGTGGTAGAGCACCCCTGGGTTCAGTTCCCAAAACCAAAAAAAAGAGGAAGAGGACAGAAGAAAAGGCTAACTAGAATGCTTTCATCTGGCATTTTTAAGTGTGCCCGCCTGCCCTGACACGTGCCCACCTGTATCCCAGCTGCTTGGGAGCCTGAGGCAGGGGGATCACTTGAGTTGAAGGCCAGCCTGGGCAACATAGTGAGACCAATCCCAAAAATAAATAAAATGAAGTCCGGAGCCCTCTGACAGTTGTCAGTGGCCCTATGCTTTCTTGGTTGGAGCTGGGCTCACTCAAAGGAGAATAAACATCTGGGCAGAAGATGCTCGCAGTCGGGCACAGCCTGGCAAGAGTTAAGTGCCCTGACTGGCAGAACAGCAGAGAAAGGACCTTTGCAGAGTGGAGACTGTTGTGCTCTGGGGCTGGTCCCCCACTGTTTCCCTTTGGCCCACAATTCAATTCTGCAAGAGACAGGTGTCCTCCTGGGCCCTCTGAGAGACTAGCCTGTTAGCCCCAGGCAGACAAACATTGCCTAACCCAACTCCATCACCACTGTCTCCTCAGGGCACCCAGCTCAGCCTTCCAACCCAGAACCAGGGTTTCCTGGTTGGCTTGCTTTTAACTGATGGTGTGAGCTGAATGTGGCCAGAGTTGGTCTGTTTGTGTTCTGTCCAGTCCCGGGTCATGGGTGTGTGTTTATTGAAATTGTTGCTCTCTGCTCTTGTTAAGCCTGCCATCGCACACCATGCTCCAGTTTACCAACTTCCCTTTTGGTTTTTGCTTTTCACCATGTCTAGTGCGCGCGCGCTCGCATGTGTGTGTGTGTGTGTGTGTGTGTACATGTGCGCACACACATTTTCATGCATGTGTGTGTGTATACACACATATATATGCGTATACACACATGCATATATAAACATGCACACATTTTACGTGTTTTGTGTATACATACTTTTTTTTGGGGCGGGGGTGTGTGCTAGGAATCAAACCCAGGGCCTTGTGCGTGGTAAGCACGTTCTTTACTTCTGAGCCACTCTCCAGCCAGATGCTATATTTGATGGGAGTTTTTGGTTCTGGTTTTTTTTTTTTTCCCCCATAGAGATTTGGGAGGTAAAAGGAACCAGGATCTTGATGGTGGGATGGAAGTTTTTCCCCAGTTGGTTAAATTTGAGGCCTGGGAGGAAGTCACTGTCTCCTGTTGTATGGGAAGAAAATTAAGGGAGGAGGGAAGTAGGGGGTGGGGAGCCTGGCAGGCGTGAGGCCCCAGGCTAGTGCTGGGCATCCGAAATCCCAGCTCCTCAGAGGCTGAAGTGGGAAGATCGCAAGTTCAAGCCCAGCTTGGGCAATTTAGTGAGACAGACCTTTTAAAGGGCTGAGGGTGCAGCTCAGTGGTCGAGTGCTTGCCTAGCTTGTGGGAAGCCCTGGTACCTGAAAAGTAAAGGAAAATAAAAGGTGGGATCTAAACCTGGCTCCAGTCTCCGTAAGTGTCTCTTCCCTGCCTGATGAAGTCCTCAGAGGATGACAGCCTGGGGCTCCCTCAGCATCTGCCAGCCGCTTCCTCCAGGTGCGTGCCTGGAGGGTCCCCGGCTCTGGGGACTGGAGAGGGCTTGTTTGTGGAGATAGTCAAGAGGTGATGTTGGGGGTAACAGCATCAGGCAGCCTCTGAGGTGGTGATGCTGGCTGGGGTAAGCCCCCCTACCTGCACAGACTCCCTTGCACACCTGTGGCTCTGCCCAGCCTCTGCGCAGGGCGTGGGCCGCTGTGCATTTGTGAGTGCGTCCTGTGCATCTTGGTGAATCCTGTGGTGTGCAGCGTGTGTCAAGGGAGCTGGCGAACAAGTTTCGCTGCTTTTGCTCAGGCTGCTGCGACTGCAGACTGCAGCTGTCTGTCCCTGTGCCAGGAGCCGCCTTAGTGGGAGGTGGTGGTGGGGAGAGGCTCAGCTCCCTGCAGAGGTAGGGCAGGGTGGTGTGCTGCCCTGTGGCAGCTCTCGGCTAGCCTCTGCCCTCTCTCTGCACTCTCAA